AAAGTGTGTGTGTGTGTGAGGGAGGTAGGGGGGGGGTATGGGGATTGCCTTTCTGTGCTATTTTTATTGTATCTAAATTGTGCTTATTTTTGTGGGCCTTATTTTCTAAGCATTTTTCCTATAGACACAAAATGAGAGAAAAGTCAGAATAGTATCAAGTTCTTTGAGACAAGACTGTCTTCTAATAGATGTCTGTAAAGTGCCCGGCACACTAAGGCCCTGATTCTCTCCTGAGGTCGCTAGGCACTATCATAATACATATAAATAATGGCCAAGATTTTCAAAAGTTATTTCCTTAAAGTTAGTTTTCTAAATCCTTATTTAGGCATCTAAAAGGAAGTGGCCCAATCTTCACCAGTGCTGAGTGGCCAATGACTCCAATGGGAGCTGCTTTGCGCTTTTGAAAGTTTAGGTGCCCAATTTAAGGCACCCACTTCTGAAAATTGGCATGAGATCATCACACCCACTCCTGACCCTTTATACCAGGTGAACGGCTGCAGTGGCATAAATCACATGGAGCATTATTATTAATAGTAGAAGTGTTGCGGTAGCCCTAGGAGCCCCGGTCATGGACCAGGGCCCTATTGTGTTAGTGCTGTATAATCACAGAGTCTTCTACTGGAGAAGCTTGGAGGAGATATCAGAATGAACTGATAGTCAGGACAGATTAAACTATGTTAGATGTAATTATAGTTTACAATGCACATTCCAGTGAATATAGAGCAGCTTGTTTGCTTCTTATAATTCACTCTATCAGCCTTATGCGTTCATATCATGCCTTTGGCAGTGGCCCATGTCAATTTTAAAAGACTGAAAAGAAAACGAGAAACCAAAGCATGTAGTGGCAAAACTGAAGGGACTTCCACAGTTTTCATTCCGACCTTGTTCAGAGAAACTCCCCTTGTTTTTCCTGAAAGTTTGTCCCAGCAAGCAATGAAAGGAAAATTGGAGCTATGGGGATAATTTCCTTTGATTCTCTGAATGCAATGTCCCCTCCATGCTCTGATTACCCACTGTCCTGTGTGGCTGTCAAACTTCCCCTTTTAAAGCATCTCCTGCAGGTCGTGGGTGCTGCTCTTTGAGAATGGGAGGGCTGGGGTATACACTCATTATGTCCAACACTCAGAAACAATTCTGCCAAAATGCTATAGTAGAACCTCAGAGTTATGAAGTCCAGAATTATGAACTGACCAGTCAACCACACACCTCATTTGGAACTGGAAATACACAATCAGGCAGCAGCAGAGACACACACACAAGAGCAAATACAGTACAGTACGGTGTTAAATGTAAACTACTAAAAAAAAGGGAAAGCAGCATTTTCTTCTGCATAGTAAAGTTTCAAAGCTGCACTAAATCAATGTTCAGCTGTAAACTTTTGAAAGAACAGCCCTTATGTTTTGTTCAGATTTATGAACATTTCAGCATTACGAACAACCTCCATTCCTGAGGTGTCCATAACTCTGAGGTTCTATTGTAATAATATCTCTATCTCAAATATATTTAAGGCTTCCATCTCAGTGATATCTGAGTGCCTCACAGAACCGGCATGAGGTAGGGTAGTATAATTGTTCCCATTTCACAGATGGGAAAATGAGGCAAAGAGATACTAGGTGACTTGCTCAAGATCACGATGTCTGTGCTAGAGCAAGGAATTGAAGCTAGGTCTCCCAGATCCTAGGCTAGCACCGTAACCACTGGACCATCCTTCATTTGGTCTGTTGTCCTTTTCCTGGGCTCCTGCTGCACAGTTGAATCCTTGCCTTCAAATGTGGGACAGATCTACATGGGCCCCTTTAGCCACTGCAGAGGCACAGCATTTTGAGCAGGATTGACTTAGCCCCTGGCAGATCCTCACGTGTTTCTCAGACAACCCAGGGAGCTTGGTGGCTGACTTACTTCTTCTGTGCAGGGGTTCACAAAAGGAGGCAAATGTCCCTCTATCCTGAGGGAAGAACTTGGAGGAAACTTTAAAAGGGAAACTTCATGGCTTTTTCCCTCCCTCATTAGCCCCTCCCTCAGGTTTTGCTGCAGGATGGGACAATCAGGCCAAACCTTGGAGTTTTACTGCATTCAAAGATCATTAAGGTTGTGATTTAAAATGATCAGATCAAAAGGAAATTCAGAGTTAAGGCCAACATGCTCTTTCTGCTATTTTTCCCACAACAGCATGAGTAAAGGGTGGGGTCTCCGCACTTACATTGAATTTCCTGACTGGCTTGCGCCCATTTTGTGTCTCAGACTTAATGTTATTGAAACATTCTATAGCCTTTGTGTTTAATGTATACAAAGTGGTGAGTGCCAGGGCCATAACAGTGAAATATGACTTTCTTAATGAAATTTCAGTCCCAGCTCATTTCACTTCTGACACTGAGGTGATTGCAAATAAACACTTTCCATAAGAGTCATTTAAATGGCTGCATAAGCAATCTATCAACTACTATAACGTTTAAATAAATAAAAAAAGGAGTAATTCAAGTACAGTATATTACTGCCTGTGGCTTTGTTCCCAATAACCTTTCCCCCCACCCCTTGTCTTTCTAATAGTCAGATTCCCACTGGCAGAAAACAAATCTTTCTCCAAGTTGGAGAATTTTATCAGATTTATCTCTGAATGTCAGCTCAACGTGTAGGAAACAAATGGAGTCAGCAGCATGATTTAAATGAGAAGTCTAACAATTTACAGTCTCCACTGGCTTCTCATAAACCTTATTAATGTTTGGCATCAGGTACCAAGGAACTATAAATAACATTCCAAAAAGAACATTTATATCTGCTTAGCCTCTCGTTATATGTCCTCAACACAGCTTAAATAATGCCAGTAATACCTTCATCATGAGCAGGAAATGAAAAAGTTACCCCATACATGTTTTGTCTTTTAATCAAATATTATTTTCTCCTTAGAACTCTGAGGCTGTTTTTTAGGTTTAATTCATTCAAAACGTATGTCTGCAATTTCCACTTGTTTTTATAAAATCCTTAAAGCTGAATCTAGCCCCATGATTTCTTCACTTGTCTCCCTCTACTCACAGTCCCCGCCCTCCATATAAACTTTGATGCTGCTGTAGGTTTAATTCTCCTCTTGGATACATGTGCAAGTGGAACTCATTGACTTGAATGGGAGCTGTGTGCATGCAGCTAGGGGGGAAATTTGCCCCCAAGTGTCCTAAACTCAGGTATAAATTCAGTGGAGAAGAAGAGGAGAAATATTTACACACACCCATACACTGCCCCACTCCTTCAATACACTCTGTTTAATCTTCTCCCCTTCTCTCCTTTTCCAACTCTTGTCTTTGTGCCCCATGGACTTGGAACAGCCTTGCTTTCTTGCTGGATACTAAAAATCCGCCCCCTCTCCTCCTTCAAACATCTCTCAGCTCACATGGCCTTGCAATGCTGATCTCCATTCTGACACTGTCTGCTCCCAATCTCATGCCTGATCCTTATCATTTTGATTCTCTCTCTCTCTCTCTCTCTCTAAGTTAGAATACAGCTTTTCAGGGCATGGACCTGGTATTTCTAAGGGGTTATAAAGCACTTTCGGCAACTATGGTGCTATATAAGTAATAAATAGACATTTAGATTCTACAGGCCAAATTCTTCCCTTGGATGCATGTTCATGGATCCTATTTAAATCAATGGGAGCTGCATAATTATATACAAGGAAAGGATTTGGTTCCTCGTGTGTGTATGTGCATATCTATATCTATATCTATAGATATACATATACATATACATATATATAGATATATGAATGATGCATTGCGACAGACACAGACAAACAGAGAAATGCCATATTGAGTTCAGCGTAGAGACCTCTTTGTTCAGACACTGAAAACAGGGCACATGCTGTGACAGTCATAGTTGGAACTTAATCATATTGTTGATACACATCAGTGAACAAGCAAAGAAGCAGCTACAAAAATAGAAAGTATTAGAAACAGTGAAAGATATGCATCACATACAAAACAAGGGCAAACAGACTAAAACAAGAACCAGAACAGTGGTCTACAAAGTAGGGCAAGCAATTAATGTATTGTGGAAAAAAAACATGAGAGGCAAATGTCCAACATATAGTGCCACATGTGCTTACTTCAAGAAAAGAAATCATTTTCAAGGTATGCAGACGGTGACAGAGATAGTCCGATAACGTATACGAAGGGGAGAGTGATGACTATACCTACTCAGATTAAGTTTGTCTTCCACCACTACTCACTGTGCTGGGGCTGTGAAGAACAAATGGACAAAGTGATCTGAACAACTTCAAGTATCACCACAACACCCAGCTCAGATGTTCAAATGTAAAATTGATAGTGGCTATACCTGCAACGTAATGAGCTTGAATGATTGATTACTGCAAAATTGTACAAGATAAATCCTCCAACCTGCTGAAAAGCAACTCCAGTCTAACATGCTACAGTGGCACATTAGGTTGCTCCTTGGGATGAGGCACATTGATATATCTTGCATAATGACAGGTTTCAGAGTAGCAGCCGTGTTAGTCTGTATCTGCAAAAAGAACAGGAGTACTTGTGGCACCTTAGAGACTAACAAATTTATTAGAGCATAAGCTTTCG